CCACAGGGAGGCAGTCTTACTATTTGATTTAACTCGACACAAACCGTACTTACCTCGTTTTGTTCACACCCCTCAGCTTATCAAACAAAGATTTCATATGTGTTTTGCACACTGTCTTCTGCTTCTCATTTCCATGCACGCATGGGTGTATTCGGGCTTGGGTCTCTTTTGTGAACTGGGTAATGTTGATCAGTGACAAAATAACCAGCTAATATGTGTAATGTGTTATGTGCTTCTCAAAATGATTACAAAAGGAGATGCTGTGTTTGATATTGGGTTGCTGTACTTTTGATTATTTGCTTTTGCAGCCTTTTTGTGATGGCCTAGAAAAAAACGGACTATACTGTATTTCTTAATTCAAATAGGTGCTTAGGACAGCTAAAGATAAATATTGAAAAAAGCAACTTTTGAATGGGCTTTTCCACATAAGAGATTTTGTGGCTTTATATGAATCCTAGAAATTGGCTTTAAAACATTATTTTAGGGTGATTATTTCCCTTGATATATTTTAAAGGAATAGTTCTTCATTAAGATGTTTTTAAATGTAACTTTCCAACTTGTGAAAAATTTCAAATATGTTTATATATATATATATATATATATATATATATATATATATATATATTTGTTTATGGATGTGTGTGTTCCACTCCCATGTGTGTGAGTGTGGGCCACATTGAGAATATATTGTAGGCTCACGCATTCATTTATGTGTATGTATGATCTGCATTGTGTTGGTTTATTGATTTTTATTGGAAAAATAAAAAAAATGCTTTGAATGTTAGTATTTCCCATTCATTTCCTTCATTTCCTATGGGTACCCATTTTTGGGCACGAATGACAAATTAAGGATTTTTTTTTTCTCAAACACTTAGGAAACTATTTTAAAAAACAAAACAAAACAAAATGATTTTGCCCAAATTTGTCCCGAATGACTGAGGGTTAAACCATATTGATACATATTTTTGTTATATATATATATATATATATATATATATATATATATATATACAACCTAGCTTTATTATGTTTTTCTCCACTCGCAGAAGCGCTGCAGGTGCGTGATGTGATATGACCATGTGAATCCTCAGTGAGCAAGTGATGCAATGCTAAATTTCTCCAAATCTGTTTTTCTTCGGTAGACATAAAGCAAACCCAAGAGAAGTAATCCATTGGGGACTACTTAAAAACTTCATCATAAGTGTATGATGAGGATCATGAGGCCAGTAAATCGGAACACAATATGTTTATTGCAGGAAGTATTGTATGTACATGCTATCACAAAGAAGCAGACAATATCTATTTACAGTAGAAATGTTCCCATTTGGATTGCTATTGAGCATAACAACTGCATAATACTGAAGTTAGGAATGTAACTTTGCATTGAGATATTCAATAGACACACAACACTCCTGCTGATTTGGAATTTCATGTGCAGTTAAAAGACAGACCTACTCACTGTCATGCAAGAGCCAATGTGACTTTGTATACATTGATGCAACAATCATCAATAGGGTGACATCACTAATTATGCTTTAAGACAGTAGTTGATACTAATACAAATCACAACAGAACAGAAGGGGTTCGGTAAAACGGAAACAAAAAACAATACTGTACCAGGAACAATGCAACAGAGAAGTGTGCCCATGCAGTGATCAAAGAAATGCTTTGAACTGTAATTCTCTGTCAATATTCAACATAGATTAAAAAAAAAGTAGCTTGGTTTACTCGCATTCATGCAGTTTACTGATACAAATGTTTTACAAAGAATGATGAAACAACTGATTTACATTGCAACCTGCTGGTGTACAGTTTACCATTCATTGGGTCTCTTTTAAATTAAATTGTTAATTAAACAAATTAATGTTTAAAACATTGTAGACCATGTCTAAAATAGTACCCACGAATATGAAAAATGTCCCTAAATATATTTGGTAAATTGAAGGTTTTTAAGGGATATATTTTTCAAAGACAGATCTTATTTATTCATCACTTACACTTCAAGTGGGCATGAGGTGAATGTTGTTTTTCATAAAAGTTTTAAAGAAATGTTTTTATATATTTTTGCAGTTTACAATTAATTAAAAAATTTAGACAAGAATAGGGTAAAATGAGCCTCCTATTCAGGGGCGTAACCATCATTTCAGAAGTGAGGGGGACAGAAATGTTATATATATATTTAAAAAAAAAAAAATTGATCCAAATCCTCGTACGACTTTCTGCGCGAGAGCGCCTACGGCTTCGAGAATGAATGAAACATACACTGCACGGAATGTTTAGAGTTCTGCGATGTTCATCTCGCCTTATTCTGGGTGCGAATAAAACATCAGATCATGCACAGACTATCCTGTCTCTTTGAATTTAAATATATATTTATTCGCACCGGCTCTTGGAAACCTCTATGCGAACACACTTGCCCGAAAAAGTGCGGGGGACGAATTTACGTGATATTAAAAGTGGGGGGGACACGTCCCCCGCGTCCCCCGCGTAATCTACGCCCCTGCTCCTATTAACTGCTATTATAAGAAAACATTTATAGCATTTCTTACGAGCTCAACTTTCCCGCAAGTAATTTTCCCCACCACCATTTAAAAAAAAAAAGGGCTATATGCTATGTTTTAGTTGTATTATTTAGCCAAATCATTGATATACCGTTACATCTATCAAGTCACCAACATAATATACAGCAGAGACTGGAGATAGTTGTCACATGGAAACATTACAACAGCTATATTTTAAATGTTACACAAAATATTGTTTTCTGTTAGTTTTAAAAAACGCCAGTTTTAAATACCTATAGTTCAAATCGACTTACCTTTTTCCTGGGCAACAACAGTGGAAATCTGTGCAGTTTCCTAGATACAGGATGTGTCTCATCTTACCCCACTCTCTCTAACTGTGCCTTGTGAAGGTCTTCAAACCCCCAAAACAAATTCTCTTATTTACTGATTTGAAAAACTGCAGTATTCATTTCCAGAAAGGTTTGTGAGAAAAAATTATGAACTAATTCGTCAAAGAGATTTGACGGGGGTTGAACATTGCATTGCCTGAACACTTCCTGATAACTGAAACAGAAGTGCCACTGGGACATCCACTGTGTTATGTTTTTGGCCTTCAGAATTTTTAAAGGAAATAATAAAATATAATGAAAGAAATGTCACATAAAAATATTTAAATAATTACATAAAATATCAAGCTTGAAACTGAAAATGAGAGGGGTTTGAATACTTTTGCAAGGCACTATATTTTTATTTCAGTTGGAAGTCATATCCATTTTATTTCAACTGGAAGCCAGTTTTTGTGGATGAAACTTTTACATTTTACATTAACAAGAATTGAAAACTTCTGAAAAAAGTGTTTTACTTGGTATATATGGAAACTTATTGAAACCTTAAAGCAAATAAGTGTGAAAATAAGGCTAAAGGCCCATTCACACCAAGGATGGCAACTATAAATGTAAAGTTTTAATAATTGTTCTAAATATATGAAAATAGCAAAGTCCACACCACAGCAATATCGCTTTTAGAATGATGTTTTTTCAGCTGATGAATAATAAAATAACATTGACAGCCAAAATGAATCCACCCAACTTCAAGGAGCATTTAAAGTGGCAGACGATATAACTGCAGCACACATTATTGTCTGTTGTTGGTGTGGAAGCTAGTTATCATTACAGTTAGCTTTCTTGGTTTGAACGGGCCTTAAAGGGGTGTGGTTTACTGGGGTTTTTTTCTAGGATTGATTGTGTTTATGGGGTGCAGTCTAACGTGTTAATGCTTAGTTTTTTAAAAAACACATTATTTTTCTCATAATTTACCTTTATTCCACACCGCACTGTCCCTTATCTGAAAAACGCACTGATCATTTCCTTCTTTTAGATCACTTCTCTCCCTCAGAAATAGGCGATGGGCTCTGATTGGTTAGCTAGCCCAGTGTGTTGTGATTGGCTAAACCGCCTCTAGTGCGCGTCTAAAGGTCCCGCCCCTCACCTCAGCGGCATGTGCTCTGGTTGTATTGTAAACAACGGCGTCGTTAATATCGCTTATCAGTTTGAGCCCGGTTGAGAAGCAGAGGATGAACAGGATTGAGAACCGCTGCTTTACAACATTGATTTTGAAACATGTGAATCCATTAGAATCGTTAGAAGACAGAATTGCGATTCATATATGAATCGATTTTTATGTGCACCTCTATTTTTCTCTTCCTCTTCTCTAAAGCAGCGCAGCATGGCCTCGCCCCCTTTGCTGCCTTTTTCCCAAGGGCGGGATTTATCTGGGTTTGTGATGTCACGAACCCGGGAAGTAACTTCTTGTAGTCCCTACCAGCCATTTTTGTAGGCATTAAACTGCCAGAATTTAAAAATATATTTTTAAAGCAACATTACACATTAACTAATGTTAAAAAAGTGAAATCGCAATGAACCACCCCTTTAACTTTCATCTTAGAAACCCTACTGGAGTGGTCTAATTTTGTGATTGCTGTGTCATGCACTTTTCCCTGACAGCTTCTCATCAAAGTCCCATGGACAAACTTCAGCCATGTTGAGGTAAGTGGAGGGTGTTCGAGTTGTGTGGTTCTCAGTCGTTGCAGGCTGTTTATCATTTGAGGTAGCACTTGGCAATACCTCTGTCTCCCAGGGGCAAACGTCAGCATGCTTACTGATGGCGGAGTCTCTAGTAGAGCTCCTCCTCCTTCCAGATGCCACTGTGGCAACTTGGTCTCCCTCTGATGATTGGCTTGTGCGACGCTTCTCGGAGGGTTTACTTGAGGAGCTTCTCCGCTCCTTACTCTTGGACGTTCGTTTGTCATCTTCTTTATCCTTAGCTTTGTCTTTGGAGGAGCAGGGTCCTTTTCTTTTCGAGCAAGAATCTCTTCTCTTTGAATGATGTGTGGGGTTGCAAGTCTTGTCCTGGTTGGGGGACAGAGGGGGATCGTAATCCCAAGAGCAGATATCCACCATGAGAGCTGGAGGCTGCAAAAGGCTTCCTGTGGACTTGGAGATGTCTGAGAGGATGATCTTGGGCTTTCCATCCGTGGGAGTGACACTTTTCTTGCGGCTTGTTCTCTCGGGGGACAGTCCTACAGGCTCCATTTGTTGCACCGGTAGATCCTCGAAGTTCCACGGACTTGTGTCTTTGTGGGCATTGAGGTTAAGAGGTGATTTGGGTTTCCTCCCTTCATCCCTGTCCCCAGTCTTATCTCTGGAGCGGCGCCGGTTTGACGGAGATTGGCCTAACCCTTTTTGTTTGTGTTGAGACTTGTGTCCACTTTTTGCACTGCTCCCATGGATCGTATTAGTTTCGGTGGGAGCAATGGAAACATGCTTCTGGGACTTGCCCTCCGTTGGAGTGGGTAACTCCTCCACTTCCCAAGGGCACACCTCAGAGAGGTCGTACAGGTCCTTGCCCTTCCCTGGTTCTGAACAAATGGAGGGCTGACTGCCACTCACTTGCTGCTTCATGATGCCCATCTTACTAGGCGTTTTGGTGTACTCAACCGTCTGGCTGATGATCATTTTTGGTAAACACTCAGGGGATTCGTCGACTTCCGAAAGTGCCGTGCTGTCCCTTGCTTTGAGACCCTTTTTACTGGCATCTTCCACACTGTGGGTCTTCCCAGCAATCCCCAGTGTCCTTTCTCTGGCGCTAGCAATGACAGACAGTGACTTCTGTAACATCGAGGTTCGAAGATGTACAGGCTTTTTTTCTGCTGCTAGGTTATGTGCACTGGCGGACTTGCACACTAAGGGCACTGACTCGGTAGATTCAGCTAACTCGACCTTTGGCTCCTCAGGGTTCTTCTTGTTGGACCTCCGGCCCATCAAGGTGTCAAGCAGAGAAGTCTCAGTAGTAGAGTTCTCCATTTTATCTTCATGCACTCCATTGGTTTCCCCATCTTGTTCATGCGTATGGTCATAGCTGTGAGATCTCTTCAATGAGAACATCTTGCTCTTTAACGATTCTTCCCTTGACTTCCCAGAGTGAGACGGGTCAAATGGGTTTCTTCTCAGAGTGCCTCTGTTACTCCCATGGTCACTTGCGTCTCGATCTTCCCGGCTGTATTGTCGACTCACTGTCTCGGGTATTTCTGTGATACGGCGCATTAGTGTCCGTCCAAGTCCTCTCTTGGAACTGCGTTTTTTCTGTAAGTGAGGGTTATTGGCCAGCATCTTCTTTCTTTTATAGATCTCCAGTTGGGCATAGAGTTTCTTGAGCTCCTCCTGATAAAGGCAAAGAACACATAAAACTGACACATAAAACATAGTTAAGGTTTTCACTCTTGTAGAAGAACCAAACTCAGACACCTCTAGTCTAAACTGACCAAAATATGAATTAAGTGAAAAAGAACCCAATTTTCTCCGTTAAGTGTTTTCGCAAGTAGATTGTGAAGAGTGAAGTGAATATAGTAAAGAAGGAAGACGGGATTGGAAAGGACCAAAAGCTGGGATTTGAACTCCAGTTGCCAGAAGCACAACTGCACTAAATGCCAGGGCACTGGCCAAGAGGCTATTGTTTTTTGACATTAAAGTGAACTCAGATCATATTTTGCTTGTGATCTGGTCTCCATCGATAATTTAGAGATCTGGGAATCAACACACAATGGAAAGTTCTTGATTACTGGATACATATTTTACAGAGAGATGGAACTCATAAAGAATAAGTATTCAATATTAATACTAAGCAGTTCAATATTAATAATCACTATTCCATTACCATGGGAACTCTATAATTTACTCATGCTGTCATCTCAATAAGACTGGAATAAAAATGAACACTGCCCCTGTCGTGCTCATCATCATTACCTTTTTTACAGGTAACCTATGATGGCTAAAATTATTTGTAATATTCAGAGCTATGCTAAGAATTTCCTTCTAAGAAGTACAGTTTTCTCAAGTTCAAGGTAAGTTGGAGCTTCAAATTCTTGCAAACTGCTATTAAATCCCTAAAATGCACCTAGTCTGAAACATGATAAGAGTACTTAAACAAAACGCAGAGATATCACTAACAAGACTGTTCACTGAAATTTAAACAGAAATCTAAATGAGATTCTTAATCAACACTAGACGATTTTGAACAATGTGGTCAGATTTTTAGGATATTGTTTAGGAGATTGTCTAAACGTTCAGAGAACCAGTGAAGATGTCTTACCCTAATGTCCTCGGGATCCAGACTGTGCTCACTCCAGGCAGATGTTATGCTGCTGTTCAGGCAGGAGCCTGAGTGACCCATATCCAACTCCTCTTCATAAGCCTCTGTGGCTATATCCTCCCGTGTATGAGTTCCAGTAAACAAGAACTGCAGTGAAGGACGAAACAATCTATGAACCTTTCTCAAAAACACGACTGTGTTAATCTTCATAAGTTGTTTGCAGACATTCTATAGATTTAATGACAAGGATAATAATCACCTTTGGAATGAGAAGCAATCCCAGAGTAACCGTCACTGTCAGGTGCGTGTGGACGAAAAATAACATTAGCATCCAATCTGGATGCAGCCCAGTGCTGAGAGAGAACCTGTAGATCAGACCAAAGCTTGTTAAAGGTGCCAAAAGCAAATTTCATCACCACATGCAGGCCGATCCTCTAGCTTTTTTTTTTTTTTTTTGACAGAGCATCACAAATGGCAGATCAAAGCTAAATAAAAGGATCAGGAGCAAATTTCCCAACATAGAGCTTCAAACAGCATAATGAGGGCAAATGTAATTGAAAGTGTGGTGTGGTGTGGCATCTAAGGGCTTGCTCTGTTTATTTAAACAAGGTTTAGTCAACAGGGTTAGGTATCCTGATGATTTTGGAGGCAACGGAGGTCACCATTCCTCTGTCATGCAAAGAGTATTGAAATTCTGGCTCATTAATCACACTGCCTTTCAAGAGCTGCTTTGGCAAAGCATCAAAACAGAGCATCACCACTTTTCAGACAAACAGAGCTTATCTGCTTGAACCAGCAGGGGTTGCAGACATCGGCAAAGAAATGGAGTGTGGAGAAACAGATTCTGCTAAAACTGCTAGGCACTGTGATACCTCCATCATAAATAACACCAGCGCATTTTTACTCCACAAGTATACTCTAGGGCAGAGGTTCTGACTCAGGACCCAGATTATAAATGCATGAAGTAGCAGCCCAATGCACTACCAAAACTGTTTATCATTCAAAAATAATGCAGTTGCTCTTAAAAAAATAAAATGTCCTTAAATGTATTGACATTAATTGCATAGACCCAAAAATATGCAGCATTTTTAACAGGCAGAATACTGACATTTTTGTAAATGCATACACCTGCAGATCAATGCAGATGTTTTGTTCTACAGATTACTGCATAAGATATTCTTCTGAATATGAGAAATGCACAGTCAATAAGTGCCTAAACATATCAATACAGTGTTTATCAATGGTTTTATGCTGTCGGCAGCCAACAATTCAATGAAAAAACGTGTCTGACACAAGCTTCAAGTTAAGCTGCAGAATATTAGAAATGCAGAGTGCATACAGATTTTTGAGCTTATCAATTTTTCTGTTCTATCTATACATGCATTGTTAGTTGTATCTACTGACTGTGATCAGATCTAATGCTGCATTCAAGTTCTCATGAGAAGTTCAAACTTACATAGAAATTGTAATTACCACTGTTTTCAAGTGACACATCAATTACCTTCTTTCCGTTTCACAAAGCCAGAAAGCATTTTATCAGTAACCTAACAAAATGAAGAGCAAAGAATTCACATAAGGTGTGTAATTAGTGTTTTATCTGTGTATTTTTTCATTCTTGTGTTGCCACAGAGAATGATGGGAAATGCAGTTGGTCGTACAAGTCTGTCTCCTCATAAATCAGCTAACTGAGCAGAATCTTCAGCAGCACACAGAAGGCCTACAAACTGAATAGTGAATCAACATTCACAATTACAATTTATCATGAATAATACCCATTTGATTCTGCCATAATTCTTTATTTTGCAAAAAGTTGAGACTTATACTGCCTTCAAGTGCACCTGGGAGTACCTCAGAGCATTTGTTATTTCAACATGCCACATAACAACTACATTTCAAAATTATGACAGTTATTATTCAATCACATATTTATGCATATCAAAACTAAACGTGTTACATAAAGGAAACTTTAAAAGTTGATTAACTCGCAAAAATTATTATAATTCACTACAAATTGCTTTCTGCTCACAGATATATTATATGATATTACTTTCCACAATTTTTCAAATCAACTCCCCCCTTTCCATTGTCACAGCTGATGTATCATCTCACTCGTATTACATTACTTTGCTCAGACATTCATGTGCTCGGATTTCGTAATTATGATATTTCCAACTCTGCTTAAAGGGCACAATAAGGAAAATACAAAATCACATTGGTACTTACAACTTCATTGTGGTGTCCATGTGCACTCAACCCATACATACATTCATTCTGATATGACTTGAACGCAGCATGTGACCTATTTTGGGGTCGTGACCTACTAGTTGAGAACCAAAGCTCAAGAGAACTCACGGCTATTTGTCACAGATTCTGAAATATTTCCTAAACGTCCACTTGCTAGATCTATGCCTTTTTTTAATTATTTATTAGAGAAATAAATGAAAAGATTTCTGTGGTCAAAGAGAGTGAAATGAAGGAGCACTAGAGCAGTCTGAAAGATGGCAGACTGAGGGTGAGACAGGAACAGGGTGAATGGGTTTATTTTAGGCTTTAGTAGTTTTATGTGTGAGCTGTCTGCAGCAGGCATATTTTATGAACCTTCTCACAAGTGGCTTATCAGTGCTGTCTTCATGATGCATGTCGTTTAGCTGAGGCCAGCCGTCTTCACCTTTTTTACAAGTCTAGTGTAAAGTTCTGCTGATGTGATCCGGTTTTTACTTTCTAATTGGGGCCCAGACAACTTTCAGTCATTATAGGGGGCTTGGTTACACAAGTCATGTTAAACAAACCCCTGCAAATTTGCAGTTCAGTGTCACACTCTGGGAAATGACGGTTGCAGACAAAATGGAGATATGTGTGTCTGCACAGAGCCAGTAATGCTGGTAAACCTGTTAAATTTAGCATACTAAGTGCAAGAACACCAGATCCAGATGTGAAGTCCCTTGAAAACAAAAAAGTATACTTTAGCATACTTTTATAAAGAGTACTTATTATGTAAAAAATATAAAATAATTGACTTTAGTGCAAAATGAATGTAATGTTTTCAGGACACTTGCATATTAATTGTAACTAAAAGAAAATGTATTAAATTTTATTATGTATTTCATAATTCATAATTTCATAGTTACTTATATATTGTCTTTAAAATAAAAGTTCAAGTGTACTATTGAATGTACTGAAAAGCATTTATAGTAAATTAAAATGTAAAGTAAATTATATTTTTAAAACAAAGTAATTTCTATTAAAAGTTGTATACTGTATATATTTGTAATTACACATTTGCAATGATGAAGTTGCAATTTAGTACATTTAACGTTCATTAACTTTAAATGTAATATTGAATAACACTACAGTTTAAATAGTACTTTACAAATTATAATCATAATTATAAATGATTAAAGTATTTTACATATGCTTTATAATTTTAGTCAACACACCAAAATAAGTGCAATTCTTAAAAAAAAAAAGACAAACGAATCTTAAAGCGTAATGGTTTAAAATATACTTTACAATAAAACTTAATTTGACATTGTTACAAAGTGCACTTTAATTAATAGTATATTATCTGTAAAGTATAGTTACTTAGAATGATACTTCGACACAACATTGCACATTCAATACAATTAAGGGCACTTCTTTTTCACAGTAGGTAACTATCCATTAAAGACAATTTACTTGGAGCAAATATACTGTATATACACACTATACTGTATATACTGTAAATATACAGATGCTTGTCCACATAGTATTCCCACCTCAGAAAGGACAGCTTTAGACAATTTCACATCTCTAAAAATGAACAGGTTTTCACTGAATAATTAATGTAAGTGCTTTAAAAAATACAAGCTTCACATTTCCGCTTTAAAACCCTTTTGTTGTTGGCCTGGTTTACCTCTTTTCTAAGTGTGCTATACTAAAAACACGGAAGATTTAAAATGATTATTTGCAGTAACCAGTATGCATTATGTCACAAATGCTGTCAACAGAGCTTGTGTTCAGTGTTTTGAATGCAGCAAACATTCCTTTAGGAAGCTTTCTTAAGACTGCTGTGGTAAATAAGAGGATGTGGGCTGGAGTTTCATAAGATGCGAATATTATACTGTCACTCTCTAAAGAAAACAGGAAGTCTCTGTTCCTGGTGGGTGTAGTAACTGACATTTGGACACTCTTGAGGGAATGCGATGACATGCTGCATAAAATCACTTTAACGCCTTACTGAAACAACAGAGAGTTTGTGCTGGACAAAAATCTCCATGCAAATAAAGAAAAGTTCTTTTTAAATTAAACAACATGGGCTCATCTTTTAACTTGTAATTTATTGTATGTTTAAAAATACAGTTGTTACATTTCTAAGCTGATTAGCATTAGCAATTAGCCTCTGCTGGTAGATTGCTGTGTAAGGTCCTATCCCACTTTCTCAATTCCTAAACACAAACAAGTGTGTCATAATGAGAAAGAGCTGTTCTTAAAGATGTCATATGATGCGATTTCAATTTTTCCTTTCTCTTTGGAGTGTTACAAGTTCTTGGTGCATAAAGAAGATCTGTAAAGTTGCAAAGACTAAAGTCTCAAATCCAAAGAGATATTCTTTATAAAAGTTATAACAACTACCTTACTAACTATTAATAAGCAGCAAATTCGGAGTTTACTGAGGCAAAAGCCATATTTAATGGTTCGTTAACGGTGAGAATTGGACCTTAAAATAAATTGTGACTGTTTTTACTTTTGCCGATATTTGTCTATCTCTGGTCGTTCTAGCTTATCAGTTCACCTTTTGATTATTACTGCTGCCTGAGTTGTTACTATAGTTATTCTGTGTGTGATTTTATTTTCCATCCTATTATGGGTGAGTTGCTAAAAGTCAGAGACAGTCTGTAGATTTTCAGCAGCTAACAGATTTGCATGTATGATGCTGGGCACAGATTTTTTATCTTTAGTCTATGATTCCATCCAGCCCGAGGATTTCAAACATGTTTTTGTATTTTTTGTATTTTGTAATGTGTATTTTGAGCTGATTTTAGAATGCATGTTGTGTTCATTTGTCACAAGTCTCCTAGTAACAAGACGTGTTTCTGTGCAAGTTTATAGGCTTTATGCAGGAACAAACCAGAAAACAGGTCTCATCGCATCTCGAGAAATTGCTAATAGCAGTATGAACTGATGGCAATATCTATCGACTATTAATCAGCTAACCTGCCTAATTTTATTTGTTGTTGGCATTTTATTAGATTTTAATATCCAAATGTTAGTGAGAAGAAGAAAAATAGACTATGAGATATCCATTTACATATGTGATGGTTTGTTGCACATAACCCACAGAACAAAAATCTGGTAGCATGTGATCATTTAGTGTATGATGTC